ACACTAACTGTTAAGGTGAGTGCAGCCAACCCCCTTTTGTTTTATATATATTTGGGAGTCTCGCCAACTCCTTGGTTTTGCACCCCTCCCTGTCACAGGTGCCTCATCCCAGGGCCCTATTTAGCCTTGTACTGCAGAGAGATGGATTTTTTTTCCCTAAATAGGTTAATCTCATAAGAGCAGACATTAGGCTGTTAGTGTAGGACCTGCCAAAGATGGGGTACATTGACGCTGTGGCAGGCTTATGCAATGTATGATCATATAATGTAACTAAACCCCCATTATTTTTGCCTAGATTAGGTGTTTTTAAAAAAAACAAATAAAATCTTTCAACATTGAAGTTGCTGTTTAGTGGATAGGTGAGTGCGCTGGATCTTGTGTATTATATATATATTGTTCTGGCAGGGCTGGATTTACAGGACAGGTGCCTACAGGCACAGAATTCTAAGGTACCCCTTGTCACCCCTCTCCAAAAGGCGTAGAATTGTTTTATTAATCGGATATTGCAGAAATTAAAAAAAAAGTAAACATCTAAAAAAAAATGTATTCTAAATTGACAGCTGCATATGTATATATGTGTGTACATATTTGTACTTGTAGTTTCTAGTTATATATAGTTACACAATAAATGTGTAAGTGTCATTATTGTGGTGTTTTTTCAATTATATTCACAAGAGTGGTTTGTACGTTGGTAGCAACCAGTAATGTGTGTCTCACGCCTACTAACTTAAAGGAACACTATAGTCACCAAAACAACTTTAGCTTAGTGAAGCAGTTTTGGTGTATAGATCAGGCCCCTGCAGTTTCGCTGCTCAATTCTCTGCCATTTAGGAGTTATCACTTTGTCTATACAGCCCTAGTCACTCCTCCTTGCATGTGACATACACAGCCTTCCTAAGTACTTCCTGTAAAGAGCCATCTAATGTTTAAACTTCCTTTATTGCAAATTCTGTTTAGTTTAGAATTTACTATCTCTTACTGTTAATCAGACGCTAGACCCCGCAGGAACCTCCTGTATGTCATTAAAGTTTCATTTACAGAGCAGAAAATAATAACTTTTAAAGTAAGTTACATAAAAAAAATATAAAAAATTAAACCATTTTGTTTTCATGCAGGCTGTGTGAGCCACAGCCAGGGGAGGTGTGGCTATGGCAGCATATACAAAAATACAAAAACAAAAGTGATTTAAATAGAATTGAGCAGTGAGACTGCAGAGACATGATCTATACACATAAACTACTACATAAAGGTAAGGTTATTTAGGTGAATATAGTGACCCTTTAATGATCAGGGGCAGCAATAGACACGGTCGTTTTAACAGTATTATAGTCTGTCAGGCAAAGCTGTACACTGGGGCCCTGCGCACAAAGCCTCTCATATGAATGAAAATGTATACATTTGCGATTAAATTAAGCTTATATTTATTGGCGCCTCCAACAAAATCAGTGTTTAAAAATTAAAAAACATGCTGTGCATCAGAGATTAAACCACACAAACGTTAAGTAGGTATAGGGAGAGGCAACTGACATGGACTCTTAAAAATATTAGAAGACATTCATTACAGCTTTACGGCTTCAGCATATTATGTGTGGTATTACATGTGTGTTAATTTTGTCTTTTGTACAGTTAGTACAAGTACTTTGTTTTCTTGTCAATGTCAAGAAATGTATTTGCGACAGCAAGATAGCATGTACAGATAAAAGCTGATACGGAGCTGATTAGTCCACCTAAACATTTTAATAAAGAGGGTTTGAAAGTACTGAATAAATCTCTCAGAAAAATATTCTGAAAAGTTGGCAGCCTATGCCCAGCGTGCCAATGTGTTAAGACAACACTGGCAATAGGGCAGAAGTGAATAATTTTGCCAACGAGACAGTAACAAAAACGTATGCATATACTCTTGCTGTTCTCAGTCACAGGTGTCAGACTTAATATTTTGGCACACAAGAGACAGTATGTAAGGAGTGCTTAAACTCTCCCTGTGTGCTATTTTGTTTGGAGGATGTTATCCAAAATACATGGGCACCCACATATTCGTTCATAAGATCTACACACTAAATAGTTGTGGTAAGTTGTTAGAAAACTCGTCTCAAGTGACTTGTATAACTGACTGACATATATATGATATGTATATGTAATTAATGATTATTTATATTTATTTATGGAATCCCTAAATTCATTGAAACAGTTACAATAAATATAAATTACCTTTATTCCAGCTCTGGGACCTTCTCCTCACTGAAGCTTCGATCCATCTCCTGTGAAATCATCATTACTGGTGATATATCCAAATTACCCAATAAAATAAAACATTGCAAAAAACCTTTATTAACTTATTTTTACAAAGATCAAGTGAGAAGTGACCAATAGAAGGGGAAAAAAAAGAGAATCAATACTTCTACACTTAAAGTATTGTTTCCCAAATTGCGGACTAAGCGAAATGCTTAATGCCGAAACATGTTTGAGTATAGGGAAGGGTTAATAGTCTAAATTCTGCCCAGGACATCAATAAAAGAGATAATTGATGGGGGAAAAAAGTAGTTATGTTTTTTTTCATCGAATTTGATTTTTAGACTTCACAAACACTTATTTGATAAATCAACATAGTATTTAAAACCTTGGGGCGTGAGGGTTCCCCTTAAATTAAGTGCAGTAAGAATTTTGGATATCTAGATGCACATTTGTTTAATGTGAGAATATTAATAACGTAGCCTCCATAAATGTACCTGCTGCCCTGGTCACAAAGGGTTAAAGTAGTGAGCTACTTAACCACTTTAGCACATTAAAAGGTCCCTGATTGCCTTGCCAATACCTAAAATGTAGACCTCGGTACGCCCAGCCATGGGACACTTTAGCCCAGGTATCAACGTTTATGTGCACATATGGCAGGTTAAGCAATGAAAATAAAATCACAAGGTTTTCAAGATCCATGTTACATAAACGTAGAGTAATTAAACTTCTGGAGGGATTAGCTCCATATGTAGCCCTCTAATAAGACTCGACAATGTGGAGCACATAGACCTCACATGTGCGTAGAGGTTATGAAGATGGATTATACGTCAAAGACTAAGAATCATGTTTTGGAGATTAAAGCCATACATCAAATGAGAAAGGTAGGACATGTGTGGGCATCAATTTCCTGCATAATTGGCAAGATCGTATGTTGTTTTTCAATCCTCCAAAACAGAAGGTTTTGGCTAGATATCTGCTTTTACATTTTTACAGCACATTTTTTTTGTTATTTTAGAAGGTGCACACGTTGAATATAATGAAATTCAATTTTCCAGTTACATTGAGTTCTGAAATAGAAGATTCCAAAATATTATTTTTTGATGCATGTTTTTGATTTGTTCCAATACATGCTTGGCCTAGGTGATTAAATCGTTCTGCATGGTTAACGACTGTTATATCTTTAAATAAATAAAGGGAATCTTTAAACTCTTTAAACTCTGTGATACTTTTGTTTATATTAGCATATCATCAGCATAAATTAATATACAAATAGAGAGATGTGTCTATTTTGCTTTTCATTGAAATATTAATTTTATGAAAGTATAAACAATGTAGACAATACCTTTCCATTTCCATCTGTTTTATATTTTGAGAAAACACTAATTAATTTTTCTAATATTCACATTTTCTTCCGTTAGAGAAGAAGATTTTGTCCATCAATTCTTCAAAGCATCTGCATCCTTGGGAGTTTATTTAAGGAATTTTCCCCATGGGCCTTGTGAGAGATGAGTAGTCTGTGTTTTTGCACCAACCTCTGTAGAATGCTATACATAGATATTACTCATACAGTCTCTTACAAAAAGTAAGTTTTATAGCACACTGTGTTTTCGTATCTCATACTCTGTTAATTGAACTTTAATAACACACAGGAGGGTGCTGTATGGTCTAGCAGACAATTAATAGAGTGGGAGAACACAGATTCTAAATTAAACACACTGAGCAATAAGGGAAGTTAAAATAATGTAGACTTCTTTTTCAGGAAGTGTGTAGGGAAGCTGTGTGAGCTACCGCCATGGAGGTGTGGCTAGGGGCTACATAAACAAAGAGATTTAACTCCTACATAGCAGAGAATTGAGCAGCGAGACTAAAGCTTCTCACAAGATATGCACTAAAACAACTTAATTAAGCTTGTTTTGGTGCGTAGAGTGCCTCTTTAACGAAGTGGAGCTCTGTAATGGGACATCATATGCTAGAACTCTGTAACATTAAGCTGCAAGACCATATGGGAGCACACTATATAGGTAACTGATTTTGGAAGAGACTTCTTCCTTGGGAATAGGTGATAGAAGAACCCGATGCAACTGAAAATTAGATCATGACCTTATTGCCTTGTGTTGTGATTACCCAGGATTAGGAAGTAGGGGCCGTCTAAGAGTGATTGGCTTTCAATTGCCAGCATAGTTAGAGTGCATAAGCTAAAGACACAGAATAACAGTGTGGGTACACTGCAGCACAATTTTAGCGTTGTTATAATGGCTATTGCTTTTTTTTTTTTTCTTATATGCATGTGCCTGAAGTACCTCAGATAGAACTGTCATTGTTCTCTCATCCCAAGGTATTACCGGACTCTTTTTGGACTGTTCTTTATATATATTTATATATACCTATTATTTTTTATTGTTTTCTCTCTATTATATATCATTGTTTATTTCTATATTATTACTTGCTTATATTTAATTGTACATATTATCTCTGTGGCGCCACCTTTTTCTACTTCTTTATACCTGATTGTTAATGAGGTTTTTCTAAAGTTTAAAGTTTCCCCCCTTGGAAAGTGGAGCGAGGTACGCAGTAAATGTGCATTGTCTATAAAAGTAAATATTGTTCTTAGGCATAAATTGTATCCATGCTGTTAGTTAAAAGATATGCTGCAGATAATCCAAATGTTTATATATTAAGTATTGTAATCCAAATCTTTGTACATATAGTCACTTCCGGAACCAAGCCGACCCGGAAGTGACGTGACGGCGTCAAACCGGAAATGAGATTCAGCCGCACGAATAACGGGGAAGAAAGGCGGGAAGAGGAGCTTTAAAACCGGACACCAGCAGACTTACAAACACAGACTGAGGAAGCCGAAAAGGACGGCGAAACGCGTCTCTGACGGAAGAGGAGAGAGAGAACACTTAGTATTTATATATGCTACTTTTATATTGTTATATTTATTTTATTTATTTTTCTTGTCTAATAAACTGTAATTTTAAGTTAGCTATATCTCATCTCCTCCTCATATTTGGTATCCGGTTGAGGGAAGTATCACCCCCTAATTGACACCCATGCCTGCAGTACTTAGAGCCAGTCACCAAAAGCCTCTGTAAAAGGAGAGCATTGAGCTTATATATAAATTCTGCACCATCTGGTTTAAGATAATCTGCACCAGGAAATCTCTTTTGTGATTTATTTGGAGATAAAATCCATTGACAGAGGGAAGAAAGGAACAACCCCTACCTCCCAGGTGTTACTGCCTACCCTAAAAGGCAGAGTGGCTGATGTGTTTAGAGCCTATACCCTTATAAAAGGCTCTTTAAAATGTGAGTTTCCTTTTCATCTACGTACTTCTCACTAAAGGATTATTGTACAATACTACTCTGTTTATTTTATATGTATACCCCGTGTGTATTGTAAGGGGTAAGTGCATAAGTTGTATTACTATCACACTTTAGTGCTGCACTTATATCAAGTAGTGTTGGAGTTTGTTGCATTCTGACTCACTGCTTGGTATCTTGTTTTTTCTTTGTGGTTTCACAGTATCCACTAAAAGTGCACGTAGCAGCTATAACAAATAACTTTCACTAAAGTTTCACGGTGCTCAAGGTGTTAAAGAGATTAACATTGGTGGTGCTCAACCCTCCTGCACACCTTTGGTGCAAAAGAATAAAAGTACTGCCCCCGTCAGAAGGCTCTCCTCTCGTTATTTACTCAATGCCAAAGGGGCCGCTACATGGGAGTTATGGTAATGTGTGAACATTATCGTTATAGGAATACTTCAGACTGAAATTAACACATTTATCTTAATGCATTATACAGGGAGTGCAGAATTATTAGGCAAATGAGTATTTTGACCACATCATCCTCTTTATGCATGTTGTCTTACTCCAAGCTGTATAGGCTCGAAAGCCTACTACCAATTAAGCATATTAGGTGATGTGCATCTCTGTAATGAGAAGGGTGTGGTCTAATGACATCAACACCCTATATCAGGTGTGCATAATTATTAGGCAACTTCCTTTCCTTTGGCAAAATGGGTCAAAAGAAGGACTTGACAGGCTCAGAAAGTCAAAAATAGTGAGATATCTTGCAGAGGGATGCAGCACTCTTAAAATTGCAAAGCTTCTGAAGCGTGATCATCGAACAATCAAGCGTTTCATTCAAAATAGTCAACAGGGTCGCAAGAGGCGTGTGGAAAAACCAAGGCGCAAAATAACTGCCCATGAACTGAGAAAAGTCAAGCGTGCAGCTACCACGATGCCACTTGCCACCAGTTTGGCCATATTTCAGAGCTGCAACATCACCGGAGTGCCCAAAAGCACAAGGTGTGCAATACTCAGAGACATGGCCAAGGTAAGAAAGGCTGAAAGGCGACCACCACTGAACAAGACACACAAGCTGAAACGTCAAGACTGGGCCAAGAAATATCTCAAGACTGATTTTTCTAAGGTTTTATGGACTGATTAAATGAGAGTGAGTCTGGAGGGGCCAGATGGATGGGCCCGTGGCTGGATTGGTAAAGGGCAGAGAGCTCCAGTCCGACTCAGACGCCAGCAAGGTGGAGGTGGAGTACTGGTTTGGGCTGGTATCATCAAAGATGAGCTTGTGGGGCCTTTTCGGGTTGAGAATGGAGTCAAGCTCAACTCCCAGTCCTACTGCCAGTTCCTGGAAGACACCTTCTTCAAACAGTGGTACAGGAAGAAGTCTGCATCCTTCAAGAAAAACATGATTTTCATGCAGGACAATGCTCCATTACACGCGTCCAAGTACTCCACAGCGTGGCTGGCAAGAAAGGGTATAAAAGAAGAAAATCTAATGACATGGCCTCCTTGTTCACCTGATCTGAACCCCATTGAGAACCTGTGGTCCATCATCAAATGTGAGATTTACAAGGAGGGAAAACAGTACACCTCTCTGAACAGTGTCTGGGAGGCTGTAGTTGCTGCTGCAAGCAATGTTGATGGTGAACAGATCAAAACACTGACAGAATCCATGGATGGCAGGCTTTTGAGTGTCCTTACAAAGAAAGGTGGCTATATTGGTCACTGATTTGTTTCTGTTTTGTTTTTGAATGTCAGAAATGTATATTTGTGAATGTTGAGATGTTATATTGGTTTCACTGGTAATAATAAATAATTGAAATGGGTATATATTTGTTTTTTTGTTAAGTTGCCTAATAATTATGCACAGTAATAGTCACCTGCACACACAGATATCCCCCTAACATAGCTAAAACTAAAAACAAACTAAAACTACTTCCAAAAATATTCAGCTTTGATATTAATGAGTTTTTTGGGTTCATTGAGAACATGGTTGTTGTTCAATAATAAAATTAATCCTCAAAAATACAACTTGCCTAACAATTCTGCACTCCCTGTACAATACTGTTTAAAGGTTTGGGGTTACATACAAATTTTCTTGATTTCAAAAGAAAAGCTATTTTGTATCCTTTAGAATAACACCGAATTGATCAGAAATATATTGCAGACGTTGTTAATGTTGTATATGACTATTGTAGCTGGAAACAGCAACCATCAGCGTTTGTGTTCCAATGGTAGTGTTTGCTATCCTTGTTTATCATTTAAAAATTCCAACTGATCATAAGAAAAGCTTTATGTTAACATATCTGAAAACTGTTGTACTGATTAAAGAAGCAACAAACTGGCATTTATTAGATTGGTTGTGTTTCTGGAGCATCAGCCATTGTGGGTTCCATATTAGGCTCAAAATGTCCAGATTTTATATCTGAAACTCATCAGTCTATTCATATTCTGAAAATGAAGGTTATGCCATATGAGAAATTGCCAAAAACTGTAGACCTTGTACAATACTGTGTACAAGTCGCTTCATAAAACAGCACAAACTGGCTCTAACCAGAATAGAAAGAGGAATGAGAGGCCCTGATGCCAAACTGAGCAGGAGGACAAATACATTAAAATGTTTAGTTTGAGAAACAGACGTCTCACAGGTCCTAAACTGGCAGTTTCATTAAATAGTACCCACAAAACAGCAGTTTAGACGTCAACAGGGCCGCCATCAGAAAATTCTGGGCCCCTAACACAAGGTCCTAGCTCCAAGCCCGTCCCCAAATGCCGCCTCCAGACCCCGCCCACGGGTACACACACACACACAAAGACACAAACACACGCACTGATACAAAAAGGACACAGATACACACACACACACAAAGATACACACATACTGACACACACACATACTGAAACAGACACAGAGACATATACAGACACACAAATGCATAGTGACACACAGACAAATACTAACATACATACAGACACACACACACACACACACACACACGCATAAGGACATTCATACACACACATACATACTGACAGACATACATACTGACAGACATATACATACACATACTGACATACATACATACTGAAATACATACACATACATACAGATAGATACATACTGACATACATACAGATACATACATACTGACATAAACACATACATACAGATACATACATGTTGACATACATACGTAATGAAATAAAAACACATACATACAGATAGATTTATAAACATACATACAGATACATACAGACAGAGAGACATACATACATACATACACACAGACAGATATACATACTGACATACATACACACAGATAGACAGACAGACAGAGACATAGTGACTGTCTGTCTGTCATACATACATACCGAAAAACATGCACATACATATATACATAGAGACTGACATACGTACATACACATACTGACATACATACACATACAGATATATATACATACTGACATACACACACATCTAATTTTTCTTACCTTTTTTGCAGGAGGGTGGCTTGGGCTGATGGGAGTCGGCATGGCTCTCCCCTCCTCGCGGCCTGTCTCTTCCCTCCCGCACGGAGGGAGTTGAGAGGAAGTGACCAGCCGTCACTTCCTCCCAGCACTACTTGAGGCTGCAAATTTTTAAAGGGGCCCGGTCACGCTATTACACCTTCTAGATAGAGTTACATAGAAAAAGCCATATCTCTGACTGTGTCTGACTGATCGGCACCTCAGTGTTACCGCACCAGATCGGTGTGGTCACGCTATCGCAGTGCCCGATCAGCACCACGATGTGACCGCATCTGATCAGTGCATTCACACTAAAGGAGGGAGAGGTTGCTCACCTTACCTCCAGAGCCTCATCCTCTGTGCAGTTTGTAACTCAACGGTCAGGTCCAATGTTAGGAACGTGGGCCACTGCATGGCGACGCTATATAATAACGCTGCCCACAATGACATCACTAGTGGGTCATGGGACCAGGGCCGGATTAACATAGGGGCTGATGGAGCTGCAGCTCCAGGCCCAGGCCCATGGAATAGGCCCATTAAAAAAAAAAAAATTAAAAAAAAAAATTACAAAAAAAAAAAAAATTTTTTTTTTTTTTTTACACACACTACTCTTAGGTTTGCCACCTGACTGGTATTTTAATGGCACAGACGGTATTTGAGGCTGCCTGGCCGTGCCGGTATTACAGTAATACCGGCAATACAAATGCAGGTAATTTTCTCAGAATAAATGTAAATTACTCTGCAATACCAGCACCGCCCAGTAGGGGTCACTGTGTGTGGAGAGAGTCAGGGATAGGAAGTTACAGAATATCCCTGCCTCTCTCTACTACTCACTGATCCATGGGGGAGCAGCTACACAGCACAGAGAGTCCAGACAGCAGCTCTACAGCTCAGGTAAGTGAGGGATGGGGGGAAAGGCAGCAGGGACACAGGGACACATGGGGACACTGAGACACTAGGGGACACATGGGGACACTGAGACACTAGGGGACACTGAGACACTAGGAGACACATGGGGACACTGAGACACTAGGGGACATATGGGACACCGAGACACTAGGGGACACAGACACTAGGGGACACATGGGAACACAGACACTAGGGGACACATGGGGACACTGAGACACTAGGGGACACATGAGGACACTGAGACACTAGGGGACATATGGGGACACTGAGACACTAGGGGACACAGACACTAGTGGACACATGATGACACATACACTAGGGGACACTGAGACACTTGGGGACACTGGAAAACATGGGGATACTGAGACACTAGGGGACACTGAGACACTTGGGGACATATGGCAACACTGAGACACTAGGGGACATAGACCCTCGGGGACACATGGGGACACAGACACTAGGGGACACTGAGACACTAGGGGACACTGAGACACTAGGACACATGGGGACACAGACACTGGGAGACCTGGGGACACTGAGACACATGGGGATGCTGAGACACATGGAGACGCTGTGAGACATAGGGACATTGGTAGACACTGAGACATTGGCACACGGAGACACTATGTCCCCCAGCCAGTGTCCCTAGTGTCTCAGTGTCCCCAAGTCTCCCAGTGTCTGTGTCCCATGTCTCTCAGTGTGCCTAGTGTCCTCCTGTGTCCCAGTGTCCCCATGTCTATGTCCACAACTGTCTCCCAGCCAGTGTCCCTTAGTCTCCCAGTATCCCTTAGTCTCCCAGTGTCCCCTAGTCTCCCAGTGTCTGTGTCCCTAGTGTCTTAGTGTCCCCAAATGTTTCAGTGTCTCCATGTCTCCCAGTGTCTGTGTTCCTAGTGTCTCAGTGTGCCTGGTGTCCCCATGTCTCCCAGTGTCCACATGTCTATGTCCACAACTGTACCCATGTCTCCCAGTGTCCCCAAGTGTCTGTCTCCCAGCCAGTGTCCCCTAGTCTCCCAGTGTCTGTGTTCCCATGTCTTTGTCCCTAGTGTCTTAGTGTCCCCAAATGTTTCAGTGTCCCCATGTCTCCCAGTGTATGTGTCCCTAGTGTCTCAGTGTCCCCATTTCTCCCAGTTTCCCTAAATGTCTCAGTGTCCCCATGTCTCCCAGTGTCCCCATTTCTCTGTGTCCCCGGGTCTCTCAGTGTCCCCATGTCTCTCAGTGTCCCCAGTATCCTAGTGACATGGGGACACACTGAGACATTGGGACACTGGTAGAAATGGGGACACAGACACTGGGAGACTAGGGGACTGGGCGACATGGGGACAGTGACACTGTGCTACATAGGGACACTGAGACACTAGGTGACTTGCGAGACTGAGACACTGGGAGACAAGGAGACACTGGGAGCAATCCATCTATACAGCAGAATCAAACTGTGAGTAGTTTGTTGGTGATTTTACAGAATTTTTTCTGATATCACTCCTTGTGATTTACATCATGTGATGTCACGCATAACTAATTAATTATACAAATGATTAAGGCTGGTATTTTTTCCCAAGAAAGGTGGAAACCTTAACTACTCTTCACATACTCTTGCTTAAAGGAGGACTATAGGGTCAGGAACACAATCCTGTATTTCTGACCCTATTATGTTAAAACCACCACCCTGGCCCCTTCTTGCCTCCCTTAATATAGTAAAATATTACTTGTATTCAATTCTGCAGCTGCTGGCTCAGAAATGGTGGTCTGAGCAAATTACAATACTTCCCCATAGGATTGGCTGAGACTGTCAACTAGGCAGATCAGGGGCAGAGCCAGCACAAGTCCAACATAGCCCTGGCCAATCAGCATCTCCTCATAAAGATAAATTGAATCAATGCATCTCTATGAGGAAAGTTCAGTGTCTGCATGCAGAGGGTGGAGACACTGAATGGCAGTGCTGCACACTAGGCAGTACTTCCCCAGCACCTCTAGCAGCCATCTAAGGAGCGGCCAGTGGAGTTATTTTCTCTGAAAAGACAGTGTTTACTGCAAAAAGCCTGAATGGAATGATTCTACTTACAAGAACAAATACAATAAGCTGTAGTTGTTCTGGTGACTATAGTGTCCCTTTAAGTTTGGAAGCTTAAGAGGGATGTATGGGAACAAAACTTGTGTGCACTGGCTGACATTAAAGTTAGTTTAGGTAATGCAGACGTTGGTCTCTCTAACACTGTGGCATGTCCCCTTTCTTCTATACTCACTACAGACACCTTTTCTCTGTCTCAGACTATATACCAGGAACTTCTGCCTGCTAGTAAGAAGGTAAGGAGACAAGTGCACCAGCGAGTGCTATGGGACAGTCCTTAGAAAGAATGGAGTGAGCGCATCATTAGACGCATTTATGTCAAGCTCAAGGTGCTGCCTGCATAGTATGCCCTTAGTTGGACAGCCTGCAGGATTGGCAGGCAGCCTGATATGCATTCACACCAGGCTGACCTTCCAATTCTTTGGACAAACATGCCCCCTTTTTGGGCATGTTCACCCCTTTTGGCAGGTCTTGTCACGTGATTCGCGCCAGTGGCACACCCTTTTACCCGCCCATTGACTTCCTGCTTCACTGGACACTGCTGTTAGGGGTTATGGATTTACTTGAAAGATGAAAGCATAAATTAGAGAGAGATTAGCATAGAGTATGTGTTTTCTTATAGCTGCATCCTATGAGTTTCCCTCCAGCACCATCAGATACATGACGCTTGGGAGGTATGATTGTTTTAGTGTTTTTGGTCGATAAGATTCCGTAATTAGGCCCATCATAATTGTCAGCACCAGGCCCACTGTGCTCTTAATCCGGCCCTGAAGACAGGTGTCTCCCTTCTATCAGGTATAATGCCAGGAACTTCTGTGCAGTACAAGAGGATAAAGAGGCAAAGGATCCCAAACTGAATAGTATCTAAGTGCAATTTAGTAATAACAAAGGTTAAAAAACTCTTACTTAAAGGGACACTATAGTCACCCAGACCACTTCAGCTCAATGAAGTGGTCTGGGTGCCAGGTCCCTAATGTTTTAACTCTTCACATGTAAACATAGCAGTTTCAGAGAAACTGGGTCAATCCAACCTCTAGTGGCTGTCTTCCTGACAGCCACTAGAGGCGCTTCTGCGACGATGGATGCAAAATTTGCATCCAGCGTGCAGAACATCCATAGGAAAGCATTGAGAAATGCTTTCCTATGGACTGTTAGAATGCGCTGGAGCTGACGTCGGTGTTGGATGCGAGGTTACCAGCGCCGAGGGATCCCGGCGCTTGATTAAGGTAAGTAGCTGAAGGGGTTTTAACCCCTTGAGCTTTTAATGCCAGTGATTGAGAGTGGAATTGTTGGGTTTTGTAACATGTTTGTATCCACCTGTGCTTCACTCTGAAGCAATGGTGTGTCAGCAGGGCCCGGAGAGTGATAGAGTCATGGGTATTCACATCCATGAGTCCCGAAGAGTTGAGGTAATGGTGAAAGTAGGAGTGTGCTGGGGTGGTAATGTCATTCAGCACGGGATCTTGGAGCAGTTCATGTTCATGTCGAGAAGAAGTGTTGGCAGGTGACTGAGACCAGGGTGCTTGCTCTCGGAATTTGTTGCAACGTCTTTTTCGATGGGGTTCACCAGCATGATTGCTGCAGCATTCTGGATGGAGGTTGGGCCTGCTGTGGACCATACCACTCTGATAGTTGGACCTCCAGAGGGCCCATGGCTTAGGTGAAGACTGCCACATCCTTTGCAGAAGACATGCTGGCAGTGGTGGAGGCTGTAAGGGGAAGGGGGAAGCTCTACCGGTACAGAATATTTATTGTACGTAGTAAATCAGTGATGGGCGTCAGTGCCCTTCTTGCCTGGTGAGTCATCCAGGAGAGGTCGGGGTAAGCTTGTATTTGTGTACCGTGAAATAGAATGGGCTGCGTTGTTTGTCTGAGCATACGGAGGATGCCCTCCTTCACTCTGATAGTGTATCCGTCAGATTACTTCGATTGGTACCTAAGTCGAAGTACCTCTGATTCGGAGCGCCGTGTGCTCTGTTGAAAATTATGGTCTCTGTTGCAGTCCTGTTGAGGATCAGACTGAAGAGTTCCTGCAGGGTGGCATGCAGATCTTCTTGGTCTCCTTCCCAAAGGCCCTTTACACGGAGGTTGTTTTGCATCCTGCGGTTATCAAGGTCGTCTAGGGATCTGTACATCGCCGCCATCTGCGAGTTCTGTGCTTCTATTGAGGTTCGAAGTTGATGAATTTGTGTTTGAGTGGATTGTCTTCCAGTTTGTTAACCCTGTCGACCATGTGCTTGATGTCTGTTGATATGGCATCCATTTTGACTTGGAATGACTTGGGATTTCTAATTTGTGCAGCATAGATTGTGCTTGGAAGGGAGATTATTTATACTTTCCTGTATGTCACGGTTTAGTATCGTTCCCTCCGAGTTGGCCGGGTTGGATGGTGAAGACGTGTCTGGAGATGAATCCGGATTTACCCCAAGCTTTTGCGATTGTGCCCGATGTTAGTGGATTACCTGCTCTTTCTCTCAGAGCTCGCTTAGCAAGTGTCCATGCAGGTCCGAGGTTAGTTCCGCCCTTTCCTTGCAGAGTACTTTTTATCCTAAATTGAATTTTTTGTACATTTTATTTACAGGTGTATTGCAATTTGGATTCAAATTCAGGTCATTGCGGAATACAGTTAGGACTGGAAATAGTGTTGTCAACATTTCAGTTATCACCCTGACTGACATGGATATCAAAGTACTCTCTAGGGGTCTCTTTTACTGCCGCTATTGCAAAACTGAACCATTTAACCCCTTAAGGACACAACTTCTGGAATAAAAGGGAATCATGACGGAATATTTCCATCATGTGTCCTTAAGGGGTTAAACTCACTATTGATCTTGAGAGATTTTTCAGATTACTAAGATTGAAAGTTTATTTTTTCATATCTAATGTTTGAGAGTACCATTACTGATGCTTACTCTAGTCCAGGGGCTGCTACAGTGAGTGCTAAAGCCTTTGTCATATGGAACAGTAGAACCCTCTGTCTGCCTCCATCAGCTGAGGTTGAGACTTTTGCCAACCTTATTGAGGAGGAAGTCCATTCCATGCTATTGTCCTCTCATGACCACTCTCACCACAAAATTTCAACACTGGAATGCGCTGCCCTGGTTCGATTAAAATCTAATAAAGACATTGTAATAAAACCAGCAGACAAAGGTGGGGTGATTGTGGTCATGAATAGGGCAAATTATGTCCCAAAAATTAACACACAATTAAGTAATACCTCCATGTATGAGAAATGCGACACTAATCCTCTATCTAAACTTATCCATAATGTTGAATGTCTAATTACTGTTGCACATACTAGAAATGTAATGTATGATTGATTGAAAAGATTCCTCATTAAACAGAATACTGTTACGCTGGTATTGTACATATTACCCAGAATCCACAAAAGGGTGCATGAACCATCCGGCTGCCCTATTGTGGTAGGTACCGATTGTGTACTACAACTATCGTATATATCTTGTGTCTATGTTTACTATGGTAACCCGATTTCCCTGGGCTACTTTTTATAGTGTTACATGTCTCTTATACCACTCTTTCCCTGCATCTCCACTCTCTGAGTAAGTCACATTTTTTATTTATACAATCGTCTTATTCTGTTTTTTTATGGTCTCTATTACAACTTATATCTACTTCGAACTTCTGACCTACTTTGTCGGTGGTGTTCCACTGCATGATGACGTCACACTTGAGATTCACACTTGAGATTGAGGCTACAGTCTGGGAGTTTTTCCTGAGTACTATAAGTATATATATATGCTGTGTTTACTTGAATTCTGTATATATGATTAAAGCCTCAAGGTTGAAACATTGTATTTTTTTCTTTGTCTTTAGAGCCAATAAACCTTTCTTTTTTTGCACTAAACTATGATGCCTGTGGACCTCTGTTCACAATTTCCTTTATATAATCAATTATTTTTTTTATTTTTTTTAAGTGAACACTTTAAGCATCATAACCACTACAGCCCACTGTAGTGGTTATCATGCCAGGAGTTCCCTGGAACCCTCTCGAATAAGTAGTCAAACCGTTTAAGAATGTTTTGGCTACTTACCTAGCTTCTGCTGAGCTTCTGTTGGTTCCACTGAGCACTGCCCTGCCATGCACGGTTGGACTTGCTGGCTGAGCGCTTGTCACGATTGCTAGTGTGGTCCAACACGCAGAACTATGTAACATCTACATAGAAAATAGAAAGGAAATAAAAAGGATAGAACATAAATCGGTCCTTAGAATGGCCGGACTAATACGTTAGAGACAGAGAATGGTCAAGGGATAGCCGAGGTCAAGGAAACCAGAAATACACAAATATCGTTTAACAAGCCAAGACAAGGGAACCAAAAATCAGCGTAGTCAGGAATAGCCAAGGTCAAGATACTGGAAATCACAATAACAGCAAGGAAAAATGCACTCTCCGGAACCAGGACAGGAAACCACGACAGGGCAAGGTACTGTGGTGAATTAGGGATTTAAATATCCCTCTCTAGACTGTGATTGGTCAGATCCCAGAACGTGTGTGTGCGTTGGCGCCGTGACATCACACGCACATTCCTACAACCTTGGGGGCGGAGCTATTGAGGGCTGTGACCGCATGGTCGGCGCCATCTTCGATTTGGGCACACTGCCCAGAAGACGTGGGGGAGCAGTTCCCGGCTCGCCGCTAAGCAGGTAAGCTCAGCTTGTCGGCGCAGTAGGGCCCAGACGCATCATGTGACAATACCCCCCACTCGAAGACCGCTCACCGGGCGGGAAGGAGCCAGCTTGTGAGGAAAGCGGTTATGAAACGACCGGACAAGACGGGGAGCATGAACCCGGTCTGCAGGAACCCAGCTACGTTCCTCCGAGCCATATCCTTTCCAGTCGACTAAATAAGACAAGAAACACCCCTAGAAATCTTGGAATCCAATATAGAGCGAACTTTATACTCCTCCTGATCACCGACTACTAAAGGCGGAGGAGGAGCGACCAGTTTTGTGTATCAATTACAAGTGAGGGGCTTAAGCAGAGACACGTGGAATGTATTAACAATTCTCATGTGCACAGGGAGTGCCAAAGAATAAGTCACGGGGTTAATACATCTAAAGACACGGAAAGGCCCTATGTATCAAGGAGACACTTTCTTGGAATGACGGATGGATAGCCAAACCCTGTCCCCTACTTGATATACAGGATTGGCACCATGCCTTTTATCGGCCTGGGTTTTGGTACGTTTAGAAGCTTCCTGTAGTGCCCTTTGCACTGAATCCCATGTGGCACGGACAGAAGCTAAACAGGCATCCAAAGCAGGAATATCAGTGCCCGAAAAATCTGAAGGTAATACAGTGGGGTGATAACCATTATTTACAAAAAAGGGACTATGATTGGAGGATTCGTGAGTTGCATTATTCCTGGCAAACTCAGCCATGGGCAAGAGTTCAGACCAGTTTGATTGATTGACATCAATAAAACAATGTAAATAGGACTCTAAAGACTGATTGGCCCTCTCCACTGCACCCTTGGTCTGGGGGTGATACGAAGAGGAAAAATAAAGTTCTATACCCAACTGCTTACAGAAAGCACACCAAAACCTAGAAATAAATTGGGTACCTCTGTCAGAGACAATGTTTTTCGGTACCCCATGTAACCCAAAGATTTATTTCAAGAATATTTGGACAAAGTCTTGAGAAGATGCCAATTTATTAAGAGGTATAAAATGTGCCATCTTGGAGAATCTATCCACGACCATGAGAATGGTGTTATACCCATTTGAACCAGGGAGATCCACAATGAAATCCATGGCTAGATGGGTCTATGGAGAATCTGGTATTGGAAGTGGCTGCAATAACCCAGGAGGAGTTTTATGAGACAGCACATTTAGAGACAGCACATTTATAAAAAAGCCCCTACATAATCTTTGACATCACACCTAAGCGTAGGCCACCAAAACTTTCTAGAAACGGCAGAGAGGGTTTTATGTATGCCAGGATGTCCGGCTGTCAGATTATCATGAAACAAAGTACTTTTTGCGTTAATGATGGTGAGACAAACAATTTGTCTGATGGTCTCTCTATGGGTGCATGAGGTTGATCTGCTATTATGGCACATAACAGTGGAGAAGACACTTCGGAAACTGTAGTAGCAATAAGGCACTCGGGAGTTACAATTGGGAATACCTCTTGTTCAGAGATCTTGTCACATCCTGTTCCTCGCTGCGGATCATTTGGCTTCTGGTATCCAGTACTCTTTTTACAATTCTTGTTTAGTTTTTCTTGGTTTTTTGGTTTTCTATTCTATGTCTGGTTTTCTTTATGCTGGGATTTCTGGATTCATTCCTATATTCCGTCCCTGGATTTCCCAGTCTCTTGGATTCATTTATATGTTTGTTTTATGTTGCCACACCCATTTGTTTTCCACCATTCCTTTTGTTTCTGTGTCCCTGCAGGCAGCTGCTCAAGTCTTCTGCCCTTTCTTGCAGGTAAGTACTATGTGTGTTTTCTTTGGTTGGTTTGCTTGCATTAGGCAGAGTAGGACCTGCCAGATATGGGGTACATTGGCGTTGTTGGCAGGCTTATGCAATGTATGATCATATAATGTGACTAAATCCCCATGATTTTCATATATAGTACTTGGTTATGTCTTCTCTTGTTTTACCTTGTATCTCTTGTCTTGTTTTATTTTTTCTAGTATTCCCAGTTCATGTAC